TACAATATCTCACCCAGTACCAGTGTTTTGTTTACCATTTTCTTTTAAATTTATGAACCACAATTATTGTCAAAAGTGCATGTGACCATGGTTTTAGTTAACATTGGTTCAATGGTGTACAATTGTTGACTTTGGATACTGACAGATTAATTGTTGCGTCATCAAGATTTGCTTCTATAAATCCATTTATTACTATTTTGTATTAGCATGCATGCTTATTTTTCAAAATTGCATTTTACCTTTATGAACAGCTCCTTAAGATTGTGGATGTCAAATCGTTTCCTAACAATTTTATTATAGAAAGTAGCACAGAGCTTCGCAATAAGAACGGGGATTTGTTCTCAACAGATAATTTTGCCATATTTACTATTACGGAGAAGCGTAGAGAGGAACGACGTAGCAGCGTTTTGCTAGTTAGTGCACCAATTTTATACCGTTATATTTTATTCTAATAAGGTCGTAGGTACTATAAAATGTCCCAGAAACGATTGAACTATGTTAACAGCAGAAAAATCATACAATCAGGAGTGTTACAAAGCAGGAAATGGTATAGCGAGCATGGAATGGCGCTTGGACTCTATCAAGACTGACGTAGATATGCTCAACTCGATCTTGATCGTTAATGATGAAAGACAATTGAACTTTACGAAAAAGTAGACTAAGGGTATACTATATAGCACGCGGTTAAACTATGTTATTTGTTGGGAATCGGAAATGAGCAATGCAATTTGTTCGAGAAACTGCGTGATAAAGACTTAGCGAACCACAGCATTTCCACAGCGAATTGACGCAATTAGAAAGAATTGCAAATTGCGACGCGTGATGGCTTAACCCTCAACGATTCTATATAAGCAATTAATGACGAATTAGTAAAGTTCCATATCACTTTATTTCGTTGTATAAATCTGCTGCTTTTGGAAATTTATAATATAATAAAGACTTAAGATGGGCAAGTGTCATCAAAAAATTTCCGATGAGGGTCGATTCAATTAAATTGACATATCGTGGCTTTCCTGCACGTATATTCTTCTATCGATAATGGATGTTATTCCTATTACATTAATCATAAAGGATTTGACGCCAGATCAAACCAAAAGTGCTGTAGCTAAAAACATCGCAATTTGAAGAATGGATCGCACTGTGAAGACACTGTTCAGTCTCACTTACCATTTAGTTTCCAACAAGTCCTCGGTGTAATCTCACGAACTTTGGAATATAAATATTACCGATGAGCATGATTTACTGGAAACATTGTGCAGATGTTGAAGTCCACAAAAATGACGCTGACAATAATTATGAACAAAATACTG